TTTTTGTAACCTTAATATATTAAGCCGTCTGAGGTGACAGATATCACATCCACTCTCCCCTCTGTTAACAAATTGAGACCAGATGGAGAGTGAGTGTGAGAGAGAGAGAGAGAGAGAGAGAGAGAGAGAGGGAGAGAGAGAGGGGGAGAAAGATGGGGGATAGAGAGGTTGAGACAGATACAGCTGAGAGGGAGGGAGAGATTGTGGAATGATAAAATGGAGAGGGGAGGAGGGAGGAAAAAATATAGGAGGAGTAATAGAAAATAGAGGTTCGGGGGGGGGGGGCGGTGAACTTGTTTTACTAACATACATCTTACATGTACTTTGATGAAGAAAATAATATTTGAAAGTGGAAAACAGCGAGGAAGAAAAAGAAATCACCCATCGAGGGAGGGGGGGGGGAGGACCTGTCTTACTTTACAAGGAGGTGTGAGAAGTCATTTTCCCTTCTCCCTTCAATTTCCTATTCTCTCGTTTTTCCTTTCCCCCTCCCGCTCTTTTCACTTTTCTTCCTCTATCTCTCACCCTTTACATACACTCTCTCTTTCTCTCTCTCTCTCTCTCTCTCTCTCTCTCTCTCTCTCTCTCTCTCTCTCTCTTCCTCTCTCTGTATACATAGATACACCCTTACATAACCCTTGCGTTCACCTTTACATACATACACTCATTCGTACAGGGGTGGATAGGTGTGTGTTTTTGTGTGTATAACACACCCTCACGCACACACCACCACCCTCATTTCTAGGCCTTTACACACGAACCAATTTCATATCCTCCCGGGAAGAGCATGAAGACTGTTAAACTAATAATACAAATGACCTGTAAGAAAGAAATAAAAAAGCCACTTGACTTTTATATTTGCAAAGATTTTAATTTCATGACAATTTATATACTAATCACGTCTGCAAGTAATGGTATCCTTACTCCTTTTTGAAAGAGAAAGATGATATCCTTCAAAGAAAATAATATTTCATGAATATGTAATGATGATTATCGAATCATCCAAAATGTCACCTGGTATAATGAATTCGCAAAGGAGTTTTCGTTGCTGTATGAAGCAAATAAACTAAATTACACAATTTAAAACGACTATCAAACCATTGGTGACCAGTAACAGTTAGTTCATGAGGATCAAGAAAGTTCAGGAGTCAATGGATTAAATAAAATCCTGTGAATAGGCTACTTTTTTTTTGCAGCAAAGTGAATGCACGTAGCTGGTTACTCTATCACCCGATCAAAGAATTATGAAATAAGTGATGTAACTTTGCACTTGATTTTCATTACATCCGTTTAGTTTTACCCAATCTTTCATCTCTTATCATTTCATGATCGTATAGAAGAAAAACAAATCTACATGAAAGGCCTAGATCATCATAATGAAAATAATATTTAAGATTGGTTGCCATTCGTTGCCGTTAATGGCAAAATTATAAATTCGTTGTCATTTGATAAACAGCAGTCTTCTAGTCCTGCGTGGAATCAGCTTTTCGTTCGTCTACACTTGGTTTGGGTTCGGAGGAGAAGGCCTCTCTAAAAGGACGAAATGAAGGATATGGTTAAATTATGGTTTCTTTTCTAGTGTCTGTGACGATTCGTCTAGCTTTAGACATACTCATGAAATGATTTCTCATGCTGCTTATTCGCCTATCGCACTCTTAATATGATATCACATCTGAATAACATCTTCATGCATTTGACATGAAAACCGGAACATTTTTCCCATTTTGATAAACTTTGGTTTTACGACTAGTTGAAATAACTTAAAACAGACGGCAATATTAGGGCAATCTGTATTGAACAGATTTTCATTTAACATTAAGGTTTTTCCAGAAAAGGATATGATTTGTCTTCAACGATCCTACATGAATGGGGGTAACCTTGCTGTATAACCAAATATATAAAAGAGATGAATACTCTACTTACATGTTGAAGGGGGTCCACTAGGAGGCGGTGGAGGGGCAGAACCGTCACGTGGTGGAGGAGGAGGGGAAGAACCGTCGCGTGGTGGAGGAGGTGGAGGGGAAGAAAGGTCGCGTGGTGGAGGAGGAGGAGGGGAAGAACCGTCGCGTGGTGGAGGAGGTGGAGGGGAAGAACCGTCGCCTGGTGGAGGAGGAGAGGCAGCACGTTTGCTTGGTGGAGGAGGAGGAGGGGAAGAACCGTCGCGTGGTGGAGGAGGAGGAGGGGAAGAACCGTCGCGTGGTGGAGGAGGTGGAGGGGAAGAACCGTCGCGTGGTGGAGGAGGAGGAGGGGAAGAATCGTCACGTGGTGGAGGAGGTGGAGGGGAAGAACCGTCGCCTGGTGGTGGAGGAGAGGCAGCACGTTTGCTTCGTGGAGGAGGAGGAGGAGGAGGAGGGGAAGAACCGTCACGTGGTGGAGGAGGAGGAGGCGAAGAACCGTCGCGTGGTGGAGGAGGAGAGGCAGAACGTTTGTTTGGTGGAGGAGGAGGAGGGGCAGAACCGTCGCGTGGTGGAGGAGGTGGAGGGGAAGAACCGTCGCCTGGTGGTGGAGGAGAGGCAGCACGTTTGCTTGGTGGAGGAGGAGGAGAACCGTCGCGTGGTGGAGGAGGAGGAGGGGAAGAACCGTCGCGTGGTGGAGGAGGTGGAGGGGAAGAACCGTCGCGTGGTGGAGGAGGAGGAGGAGGGGAAGAATCGTCGCGTGGTGGAGGAGGTGGAGGGGAAGAACCGTCGCCTGGTGGTGGAGGAGAGGCAGCACGTTTGCTTGGTGGAGGAGGAGGAGGAGGAGGAGGGGAAGAACCGTCACGTGGTGGAGGAGGAGGAGGGGAAGAACCGTCGCCTGGTGGAGGAGGAGAGGCAGCACGTTTGTTTGGTGGAGGAGGAGGAGAACCGTCGCGTGGTGGAGGAGGAGGAGGGGAAGAACCGTCGCGTGGTGGAGGAGGTGGAGGGGAAGAACCGTCGCGTGGTGGAGGAGGAGGAGGAGGGGAAGAATCGTCGCGTGGTGGAGGAGGTGGAGGGGAAGAACCGTCGCCTGGTGGTGGAGGAGAGGCAGCACGTTTGCTTGGTGGAGGAGGAGGAGGAGGAGGCGGGGAAGAACCGTCACGTGGTGGAGGAGGAGGAGGCGAAGAACCGTCGCGTGGTGGAGGAGGAGAGGCAGAACGTTTGTTTGGTTGAGGAGCAGGGTCAGAACCGTTGTTCGGTGGAGGAGGGGCAGACCCGTTGCTTGGAGGTGGAGGAGGTGGACCAGTACTGTTGCCTGGTCTTGGTCTTGGTCTCTGTGGCCGATCGCTGTTTGCTGTACGAATTTAAGAGAAAAATACGGACCAACTAAAAACATATTTCTGCACAGTCTTATATGAAATGTTGTTAACGTACAATTTCTTTATTCGCCTCACATAACTGCTCAGTTTTTAATGCCATTGATATCTTCAACAAATACCCTTTCAGATTTAGCACATGAAAAGCTTAGAAAGTTCCCCGTATCGATGATCCTAATATGTTTATACTTACGAGGCCGTGCGGCACAAACAGCAGCAAGTACCAGGATGACCAAGAGTCCGCTGAGAATGATTCGGCCTGCCATGATGATATTGATGATATCAGCTTGGAGCGGTGATTGGTTGCTTGTGATCAGTATCTGGAAGGACACTGATTATGGCTTTCGTGGTTCTACCAGCCCTCTTTTTATACATTTCCCAAGTCTGAATTTTTTAAGGTAGATCCTAAAAGGTATATCATTCAGAGTGTGCGAAGTGTTAGATTTCAAGGCGCAATGTTTATCAATCCTCACATGTTTCTGTCTACTTCTCTTAGAAGGCGACACATTACCATTTCTTCTAACTGTTTCTGAGAAAACGGCGTTTCCGATCCTTTTCCATCAGTTCGTGTTTAGTTTGTCTGTATTGTCTAATGGATTTTATTTCATTTATATTGGAGCGGTGTTCTTAATTATGAGCAAACGTCTGCGTTTGTTTTATCCTTTGATTATGTAGTCCCACCACAAACTTTTTAGATGACATGAGTTGCAATGACGTAGCGTGGGCTAAGCAAGGGGGGGGGGCGATGGTATCAGTGTCTGGCACTTCTTTTTGTTCCGGTGGAAGAAATGTGAATAAAAAGGTTTCAATTAATTGGACGGAGGTGGAGGAAGTCCTCTCACCTCTTTTCCGTGTTCCCCCTCTTTCTGTCTCTCTGCTTCTCTCTTTCTCCCCTCTCTGTCTCTATCTGTCTGTCTTAGTCTGTAATGTGTATTTGACTTCTCACTCAAACACAATTACATATTTCCAATTTTTTTTCTCTATTCTTTCTTTCTATCTTTATCTAGTCACGTCAGTTCATGGAATACAAAATCTAGGTATAATACCTATGATAGATGCATTCGCTTTTATTTCTTTTTTAAGTACTGTAACCAGCAATAATAAATGCATTCGTTCATCATTATGAATGTTGCATGTTGGATTTGTATTGCACAGGTCGTATCTATTTACAAGCATTTACTGGAATGCTTAATTTTATGACAAAACTTTAAGTGATTTCACATTTTATTATTATTTTGTAGAATAGAGATATAGGGGAGGGGCAGAAGAAGTGCAACATCACTTCAGTACTTGAGAAACTCTCGGATCCTGATCGAAACCTCCTCACCTCAACACAATATTACCATGGCAACTGAAGGTGACATTACTGATGTAGAAGAAAGCCTCCGTGAAGATGCTATTGAATGTCGTTGGTAGTAGGGTAGGTAGCTCCTCTGGAAAGGAACCTTGGGTGACCGATGAACATGGGATTATAAAGAATGAGGACAGTGGTAGCGGGATAATGGAAGATGAGAACGAACCTTCCACCTTTAAATCAGTAACCTCTCACCCCCAGAACACGAAGATCAAGAAGCGGCTATGACGTACGAGGATGACAGCTTCGAGAGTGATAACGATGAGGAGGATGAGGAGGAGGATACCCCCTGGACAACCATCCTCTGGGACAACTATCCTAGGGGGTAGTTATCTGGGGGTATTTGTCCAGGGGTATTTGTCCGGGGTTAGTTAT